CTACTGTTTGCTTAATAACTTTAAATCCCGGTATCCATTAAATATTAACTCGCATAGGCGTACGGGCCGGGGGGGCGAGGGGGGCTGCAGCCCCCCCAAATTTTGGGCAACTCAGATTTTTTGGGCAGCGAGAGAAAATTTGAGCAAAGCCAGTTTTTAAAGACGTCTCCATGTTTATTTAATCAGTTTAAAGACCTGAATATTATCTTGAAGTCGGCGTAATAATCCAGTTACATTACAGTGGTTGCCTAGCATGTGATGAGTAATTTACATATTTGCAGTTTTTTTTGTTGGGCACTATACTGCACTGCACTAGCTGGAATGGGCTATTTCCAGTCGTGAATTGATTAAAATAAACTTTCGCATAACTTTCTAGAATCATCTCTACTCGAAGAACAGAGTATGGCAGATAGCATTTAGCAATGGGTATGAAAATGAAGAAGTGGTTGACTAATTCTCAGTTTGAATTGCGAGAAGGTTTACGGTTTAAAATTATTCGCTAATTTGTTGAAGTAGACCGAAATATTTACAAAACCGCTAACAAGAGTGTCTCGATACATACTAATCCAATCCCTCTTTCGATTCCAGCAATCAAGCAGAGCTATCTCCACGATCTTTCACACATGTTTTTAAAAAGATTAAAACTACTATGAGGTGAAATTGCAGGTCAAAAGCGCTTCGTTTTCTACAGATAAAGGCCAAAAGTCAAGATTTTCCTGTTCTTACCGTATTTCTAATAATAAAACCTTCATTCCAAAATATCTCGATAACGCTCTTAAGGTTTTGCTTAAACTTCACGAACATCGAGGCGACCGTATTGGAGAAAAAAGCTCCTGTGAACGATTTTGTAAGGTTCCCGTGCCGGGAATCATTGCTGAAGTAAAATCGGTAATGGGCGGGGGGAGTCATTTCATTGCTATGACAAATCCGATGTCATTGCAACCCTGATGATGACAAATTTTCATGTTAAAACAACTGTGGTCGCAATTTTTCCAAATGTTTGTTTATGGCGACGTAGTTTATGCTCAGACTTGGTATTGACCCTGAAAAACAGTATCGAGCCACCTTCATATGCCAGGACGGCCTATGTTGTTGCAATATGGCCCTCATTTCTTTTCGACTCTTTCGTAAAAATTTGGGCAACTTCTGAAATTTTTTTGGGCAAATGATTTACCGCCCCCTGGCAAAAAATTTCCCGTACGCCTATGGTAACTCGTTAATACTCATGATCAGTAGGCATATTGTTCAATGACCGCTTGAGGAATTGTCCAATGTCCAATGCGTCGAATGTATGTAGCCAGCATTCTTAAGGAAAGGAATGTACCTAACGCAATTTGATCACGCACGTTTCTATCCTCTACCCCTTGTAATCTGATCACGCGTGTTTTGACCACTTACGCAGAGCACGGACCTCCGATCGTTATCGTCCGCACTCCGTAACCTTTGGTTAATAATATTATATATACCTAGTTTTTTAGTCTTTCTATCATATTTTTTATACTTTTATTTTTTACTGTACTTAGTTTTAAATACACATTTTATTAATTGCATCATTTGTAAATACGCTATTCAGTCTTCTGGCTACAAAAAATTGGTAATTTATCGATCGATCTATCTCTCTATCTCTTATCTTGTTAAACTTTACTCAAAAAATGTATTTAAAAGGCTAATTAATAGTCTATCATGCTATAACTGTCACAAATGTAAATTAAACGTCACGTTCACGTTTGCTATAGCTATTAAAGGAGGATGACAATTAAGGAAAGGGAACCATCTCAATTCTGGGAGTGAGCGTAATTCAAGTTTATTTGAACCGTTTTCAGTTAAAGTTTATCCTTATGATGATTTAAGACGGCGATCATTTCAGGGACGGTGCAGGAGCAATCTGTTTTACGTTAAACAAAGCCTTGACGTCAGTCAGTCCAGGGAATGGATCCGTTGCAAACTTGAGCAAATTTTTCAGCTCTCTTTATTAAAGACAGCTTGAACCAGTTCAAAATTGTTGGGAAGGTAAGCGTTATGTTAGAAGTTGTAGTGCGAAAAAAACAAACATAAGCCTTTAAAACAATTAAACATTTCCCATGCAATGAACAGCAAAGTCCTCGCTTGATCGCGAAGTCATCTTGCGAATAGTCATCGCCACCACACTTAAACGTCTAGCTGAATTTTGTCTTTCTTTTAAAGAGAAGCTTAGATTCGCCGTACCTTGCAGAAAGAGGTTATTAAAAGCTACGGTTTTAATATTGTGTGTTCTTTTGTAGCAAAAAATTTAAAAAATATCTTCATTTTTTTTAGGTTCTGAGTTATAACCTAGAATGTTGAGCCTCTAAAAGTTCATCAAAGGGTAAGTAAGAAAATAGCAAGTAACAACCCAAACATTTGCAATAGAACAACACCACAAAGGATTATGACCACATGTTTTGCAAAATACATGTTTTGTTTGCTTCAAAGTCCCTACCCTTTAACGGGAAAATAATAAAATATAATTGTGGTTAAAAGCCAATAAACGGTTACGGGAAGTGAACAGAAAGCAGCTGTTAGCAGTGAGTGGTTAGCAGTCGCGTGACTCAGTGACAATATCTTTCTGTAATTTTCGGTAGTCTAACAAGCCTACTGTTTACTTAATAACTTTAAATCCCGGTAATGGGCAGAAGGGTTGTCACAGTAAAATTCGTTATCGGAGTTCGCATACAAAAGAAGTTTAGATGAAGTTGAAATATTCCTTGATTGGCTAATAAATATTTATTCAAAAATATTTTTCGAGCTTGGATAACTTGGAAATTGGGAGACTTTCATTGGCACAATGAGCGTGTTGACGACTTATTCCAGTTTAATGATGGTTGAAAAATACCCGGGGGGAAGGGTACTCCCTTCAATAGCCTAAAGGGGGAGGCTCCGCCAAAGGAGAATACCTTTAATATTTAGGCTTCTCGGCCCAGTTTTTCGAAGGTCGATTAGCGTTAACCCAGGGTCAGGCTTTTTTTCTATAGCGCGCTCTCTGATTGGTTGAAAAAGCGTGCGTGGGGAATTTAAAGGATTCCTTATCAAAAACAAAAAAAGAAGTCTTGACTGAGCTCTGTTAGACCGACTACGTCTCGTGTTTACCCTTACACTTCTTTCATGCTCTAGCCGCTCTGCGTACTTCAGTCACAACTGAACAAAGCAAAGTCACGGCTTCTTTATTTGTTAATTGAAAAGCACTTAATAATTTGTATCTATTTTGCTAAAACGAAAAACAGAAGGAAGCTGCAATTATCTCGAATATTAATATGTTAGTTTTGTCACTATTTAAATGAGGTTTGCGAGTTGTGTAAGGCTATACTCTTTATACACGTTCATTCACGTTCACTCTGTATTATAGCGCAAAGAGCCTGTTGTATTCTAGATGAATTAATCATTGTGTCGCTTAAAAAGGGAGCAAGCATTAACTTTAACACTTTTGTGATGCATTCCTTTATTAAACGCGCAAAATTCCGGGTTTAAAATTCACAGTAAGCTAATATGCAAGCACAGTTTGACAGTGAGGCTATACCCTTGGGGCAACGCGAAGTAGCCGCTTGATGGAGGTTGGCAGCTGAATAGAGAATCGTCCGAAATTTCCGAAATCTTTAGCAGATTGAAACTTCCCTTTATTCTGAAACAAAAACCTTTAGAAGTTTCTGACAATTTCCACTTCCTTTGTACGGTTAAGATGGTTTCGTGTAAACAGAACACCAAAACGCGTGAACTGTCTAAAACTACTGTCTAAAACTACTCGGATCGAAGCCCAGCAACAACGTAACCTTAATTGAAATTAAAGTTCTCCGCTGACCAGTTATCGGTTTTCAATTGATCATAGGCTGGGGTCCATTTTTCTAGTTTGCTTCTCACTTGTTAATATAGCGAATGCTGAATTATTTCAAAAAGGCGTTTCTTAAAAGAATCCTCGAGAGCTTTGCTTTAGACCTTGGCTAAATCTGCATAGTATTTGCTTACTGTGTATAAAGGGAAAAAGCGCTGGAATGGGATTAAGAGAATTGTTTTCAATGCATATATCAGTCTTAATCTAACGTACCTTGCTTTTACGCCGTGATCCACGACGTAACGTGTAGCTAAAATTTATTTTACGTCGCAACGCGAACCTCCTCGTTTACGTCGTAATTTCAAGTAGATGTTATATTGCGACGTAACGTGTCGTGCTAAATATAATCACGTCGTAAATGTGACGTCGTGATATATTTGAAGACTTTCAATAATTTCACGCCGTAAAATAAACGTTGGTATATTTTACGACGTAACGACGGATGCACAAGGTTTACGTCGTAAATTTTACGACGTGATACCTGACAGCAGAATTTGACCCCCTGGACGTGAAAAAGGTGTCAGAAAGTCAAAAATGTGCTCAAAGTGTTTTGAATAGAAATGAACGCCACACGACATGGTGACTTGAACAGTTAATATGGCGTTCATTTTTATTCAAAACACTTTGAGAACATTTTAAACCAATTAAAGGTATTAAGAAGTTTTTTTTTTTTTTCAATAATTTTGAAGACCAAATGGAAACTTTATTGCAACGAGACTAAAACTTACGGTTTTCGTTTTCATATTTCTACATTTCATTTTTTCGTATGTGACTTGTGTAGTGCTGTATATGACTTCTATCACAAAACACTCCTTGACAGAAGTAAGTCAAACATGCAAAAATCCAGCTAAACCAACATATCACTTTCTTGAGATGTATTCTCAAGGTTTTCTCGCTTCTAAAGGAAAATGGAAACATTTTTCTAAGAATAGTTAGTGGCATTATCCGTCAATATAACCTTCATTCTTGGGAGTTCGTGATAAAAACGCAGCTGAATGGCTCCAAAAGCCCCAGGCTATGGAACCTACGACCCATATTTGTACTTAATAGACCTTTTCAAGGTTAACACCGCCATTTTGCCGGGGGTGCAAAACTACTGGGGCGAGCGCGCGGCCGAGCATGAAATGCAAATGGCGACACGGCTGAATAATCTGTTAACATGCCAAAACACGCTCGTTGTGCGGTAGGTTTTTGCGATAATGATAAAAGATATCCTGACCTTGCTTTTGTCAGATCACATGTGGAGAATTTAGTATATCACAAGTGGCCAACCGACCCTAAACTTGCCGAAATACCGTATTTATTCGAATAAGCGCCCAACCTCGAATTAGCGCCCACTTCGAATAAGCGCCCATCCTAAAGGCAGAAAAAGTTAATAAGCGCCCAGCCTCGAATAAGCGCCCACCCCCTCCTCCTCCCAATCAAACTCAAATAAGCGCTCACCCCCATGTGAATAAATTCTAATAAGAGACTTCCCTGAGGACGGAGTTTTCTTCAGAGTATTTTACAGAAACCTTGCTTTGTTACTTCTTCGCGTTTTGTTATTAGCATTTATTGTTTTGTTGCAAAAAAAACATACTTCACTTGCCGAAAATGGTGAAAATTTAATAAGCGCCCAGCCTCGAATAAGCGCCCACCTCGAATAAGCGCCCACTCTCAAGGTCCAAAAATTTAATAAGCGCCCAGGGCGGTTAATCGAATAAATACGGTATGGCGAAAACAAGTGGCGAAGACTCGAAGTGATTCCTTCAATCCTTCCCCTGGTGCTAGTGGGACTTTCGTGTGTTCAAATCATTTCCCATGTGGACGAAGAACTCCTGAAAACCCTAAAACGGATTTTCCGTCTATTTTTATGACTGTTTCGGATTACCTGCAGAAAAAATCACCCAAGAAAAGGAAAGCGAACAAGTTACAAGAAGCTGGTTCTGCAAGAAGCCTGTTCCCTAGCTCCAAGGAGTCAAAGCAGGATCCTGAGGAGAGTGATAGTGATGATGAAGAAATGGAAGCAGATGCAGATTACTCCGTTTCAGTTCCAATGCAATTCGAACAGTTGACAAGGGAAATGGAAGTAAAAGTCTACACAGGTCTGCCATCACCGAAAGCATTCGAGTTCTTGTTCGATTATTTGAGCCCAAAGGCTCGGTTTATGCAATATTGGAGGGGTGGAAAACAAACAAGAAAAGAATCGTGTCAACCTCCCTCTCCTTTTGAGTTAGCAACTGGCTATCTCAAAGGAAGACCTGGGCCAGAGAGGAAGCTTCGACTTGAACAGGAGTTTTTACTGACTCTTATGAAACTAAGACTAGCTCTTCTAACTTTTGATTTGGGGTTCAGGTTCCAAGTGTCAGCTTCCACTGTCAGTAGTGTTTTTATAACTTGGGTTAAGCTCATGTCCAAGGAACTCTCCGTTTTAATTGTGTGGCCTAGTCGACAACAGATCAAGAAAACCCTCCCATACTGTTTTAAAAAGCTTTATCCCAAAGTAAGATGTGTAATTGACTGTTTTGAGTGCTTCACAGAAACTCCAAGTGGACTTGACCTGGCAGCAACACTATGGAGTGAGTACAAGCACCACTACACTTTCAAAGTCCTTGTTGCCATCACCCCAAATGGAGCAATTTCATATGTTTCACCATGTTATGGAGGCAGGGCATCTGATATTTTTATTGTAAGGAATAGTGGGTTTTAAAAATGATTGAGCCTTACGATGAAGTCATGGCAGACAGAGGTTTTAAAATCCGAGAGGACTTGATGATGCACATGGCAACATTATGCATTCCACCTAGTTGTGCATCATCTATGCAAATGCTACCACGTGATGTCAGAGAGACATCAAACATTGCGAATGTCAGAATTTATGTTGAACAAGCTATTGGACGGCTCAAAGTTTTTCTTATTCTGAAAAATGAACTGCCTATTACCCTGCTTCCCCTGGCTGATGACATTGTTCGTGTCTGCTGTGCATTGTGCAATTTGCTTCCACCACTCTGTGTTTGATATTTTTATTTACAAATATGCCAAGGTGACCACATATTCAGTTTAGAGACTGGGGCAGGTTCATTTGAGAACTGTTAACATGTCAATGAAATGTGAAACTACTACTACACTGTACATAGATGACATCGTTGTGTATTTCAGGGCATAAGAGCAATACCTTGCATTTTCTATTTCAGATTGAACAGTCCCCACAAAAGCTATCTAATGAACTTGCCTTTCTTTGAATGGAGGTCCTTCCATGAGTGAATGAAATGTTACTTTTTGTACAAAACAATTTTGTTTAAATTATCATGAAATACCAGTATATTTCGAAATCAAGTTGTATTTACATAATGTTAAATTGATTAAGGAATTGAAATTTGCTATTAGAAATGTGCGTAATTAACCGTAGCAACAGGAATGTTCATAAAACATTTTCGTAACATTTCATAAAAAATGCATCAACAAAACAATACTAAACAATAAGTGGCTATAAAAAATATATAGAAATGTGTAAATAACTCTGACTTTTCTCCATGTCTAACTTAGTAGAAATGAAAATGCATCCAACATTCTTAAATTGTTTCTACATGTAGAAAAATATTACATGATGCAATTAAAACATTTTGTAGGTTATACATGTACTTCTTGGACTGGTGTATTAAAGTTCTTAACACCTTGTGAATCTATGATTTTGTCGATTTGATGTTTGGGATTAGTTACAGCTGTATGTGACCATGTGGTGAAACTTCTCCTTGTGAACAGTAATTAAAATTCAATGTACAGTACATGTATTAATCTGAAATGCAGTAATTACAAATTAGGTCTGCAGAACTTGTTATGTCCTCATGGTTACTGCACCAAGCATGGACAGCTTTTTTACAGACTGTGCAAACATGTTCTCCATTCACAGGGATACTCTTAAGACAACAAACTTGGCAGACATGATTTACAGTGTTTGAGTTATCAGTTTGTTCTTCTTCCTCAGGTAAGTTCAAGTCAAGTTCATCATCCCCAGCATCATGTATGTTTGCTGCATCAGCCAGGCAGCTCTGGCAAATCTAAGAGTCGAGTGCATCTGCAGAATTCACACTGAGTTCAGCACATGGCAAATGCCACCAAGTGCTGCAGCGGTCACAGCATACACTGTTTTCGTTTGCAGAATCACTTATTTCATCACTCTCCAAAATAACCTTGTCACACTTGGGGCACTCAAAAATGTCCCTGTATCCTAACAGGCAAGGTAACACAAAAGATTTGTAAAAGAGGGTGATATTGTTCACAACTTTCAGACAAAATTCCAAGTCAAGTTCTACTCGTTCATACAATGGTTGGCCGCCCAGAGTCCAAACAATAAAGAAGCCATGATTGGCACCACAAACCCACATCTGAGCTTGCATTTGGGTGTAATATTTGTGCGAGCGTTTCAAGCGGGGCTTTCCATTAAAATCTTCAAGAAATTCCACACGGTCAAATGTCTTTTTTTTATTGAATATTTTCATTTCTCACACTGTAGGGACATTTTGCTTCCAGTGTTGCCAGACCACAACAATGGCAAAAAAACAGGCCGTCCGGGGAACCCGCAAGGAAGGGGTAATCGGGTTTGATGAACAATCCACACTGTCTAAAGCCCTGTAGGCCACCATCATGTTGAGAGGCCACATCTGACATGAATGATTTTATGGCATCCTTTTCATGGGCATTCCCCCACTTTATCTGTGGCATATGTGAGACATCATCACTTTTATTCAACAGGCTTGACACCATTGAACTGTAAATGGGTTTTTTGTCATTGTCACTTTTTCTGTTGATGATTGTTTGAGCCTTGGTGTGAAATTTGTGAAAATTTGACGCAGTCACTCTCCCAACTCTTTGTTGATGCCAAGAGTCATTGTTACTCTGGCCACGAGTTTCAGTTTCCACCCTTTTCACTTGGTCACTCGTCATCTGACATTCTTTTAAAAAGAGTGGAGCGGTATGTTCCAATGGTTTTCCTTTCATTTCTTGGGATGACATGAAGCTAAGGGCTCTCTGAGGAAGAGGTTCGGGTAGGCCGTCATCTTTAGTGTGCTCGATAGAGTGAAGTAAACAAGCAGATGGGACATTCTCAATTACTCCATTGATAAGAGCTGACACCCTTTCATTGGTCAGCTGCCTATCCTGGGGCTTTCGTGGGTCAAAGTTGTTCTTTAAAGTTAAATTGGCTGCCTGTTCTTTGGGACTGTCCTCCCGAGTCTTTTTGTCTTTACGAAAGACAAGGTTTTTTATTTGAGTTGGAGCTACATCCTTTCTAGTTCCTTTGTTCCATCCTTGTGGAACGCTTGTACATGCAGGAGATATGTAAGCTTTCTTGTGTGCAAAATTTACTTTATATAGCAAAGCTATAACATGATTGCAAACTTCACCAGTACCTGCTGTACATGTACACCAAGAGGTTAAGATTTTGCATTCACTTTTTGTGCCCTCTAAACAAACCCAGACCTTATGCGGGTCATCACGAATTTTTTGTGACGGGGATACAGAGCCTTTCAAGAACACATGCTTGCTGTTAATTGGGCATTTAGCAAAGAACACTGTGTCTACAAAGCCACTCATCCAATAAGAATAGGCCTTCTGATCCTTGTATTTTCCAATATAGTCGACATCTACGGCTTTAGTCCTCAAAATATAACTGAACAATTTGCCATCATCGACCTCTGGCCATTCCTTTACGTCGTCAATCCAAGCGTCACTCGGTAACATGTTTGGATCACTCTTAATTTCATTTTTAGTCAGCCTCCTTGAATATTCGTCTTTTATCTGCTGATAAATTTGCTCCTGGGAAAACTTCACAGGCACATTGAGTTCGTAGGCTCCAAACGCTCTAGCGATCAGCTCAGACTTTCTGCCCGTTTGCTTGAGTCCCCGTAGCGAAAGAAAATCCTTTAACGAGGAAACAGTCCAACCGAGGAAGTCGTCGTATTCAAGAACTTCCTCTGCTTGTCGAGGCATCACAAATAATTTTGTGGCCGCTCTACCGGAGTGGTAGCGGCAGAAATAGAAAAGGATTTCAAACTAACAGTTTCAGTACACGTGTTTTGATCCTAGATTAAGATATTTCGATATTTCTTCGCAGGTAATTGCAACTCGATGAGTCAGCCATTTGCATTATATTGTTTGGCCGCGCGCTCGCCCCAGTAGTTTTGCACCCCCTGCAAAATGGCGGTGTTAACCTTGTAAAGGTCTATTGCATACCACTGCAAACCACTGTACGCTTTGCTTTATGCCTTTAACCAATTCATCCATAAGAAAATTTAAGCATACTGTTTTCTTACTTCTCATAACGTATTAATTTAAAATAATAAAACCAAATGAAAGAAGGAAAATTTTGGTAGCAGTCAAGTAAAACCTGTAGGTTTAAGATCTTACCAAGACAAGCGTGTCTAAATTAAAGAGATTCATTTTCTAAATGAACCGCTACCATGATTGACAGAACAGTTAACAATTAGTTCATGCGTCAGCGTGCGTATGTCGAGATATTGAGCACGCTGGAAGTTTGGAGAGCACGAAAGAGGCGTAAGAGTTGCACGAGGTGCAGCCGAGTGCAACTCTAGCCTCTTGAGTGCTCTCCAAACTTCCCAAGTGCTCAATATCTCGACATACGCACTGCTGAAGCATGAACTAATCAAAGAATGATTTGCACACGCCATAGCCCGCACAGCTCGCGGAAATGACAACAACAACAACACTCACCTCTTTCCTTACTATCGGTTAACAAATTCAAACGTTTCCTCTTAAATTTCCTTATAAAACACACAGTAAGCGCTTCATCGTGTACTGCTGAGTTATAGCTAGTTATGGATGCACTCAGGAGACTCAGGTTTATTGACGTCATCAACGTGCTCAATAGGAATATGAAGCACGCTCGCGCTATTGAACTTGATTAGGCGAATTTTCTAGCTATGTTATAATGATAAATGATTGGTAGATTATAATCCATTGTTTCTTATTTGTCGATATTATTAGTCGTTCTAATTTTGATTGATGGAAGAGTAAAAAGCAGTGAATACTTAATATCTTTTGCTTCAGAGTCTGCTTGTCATTTCGCTACAAAGAAGATCCGTGTTCAGTTCAGGTAATTGTGCCAGTTTATCACTGTATTAGGGTTTTGGTTAGAACTGGTGATATCAGCTAAGACGAAATTGCATGAATACTTGAGGCGTCAGTTACTTAAACAAAGTGAGTAGCTTAGATAACAGTAGGAAAAATAAGTGTATTTTAGAAACCTACTTATACAGGGTGTCCCAAAAGTTCGTTCCTCTAATTTCATGCGCTATAACTTTTGATCAAAACTTCATTTTTACTTCTCAAACTCATTAATAATTCATAAAGAAAATTCAAAGGAAATTAATGTTTAATGAGTGTTTGGATATCAGATGAAAAACTGCACATTTTTGCATTCTTAATTTCTCCTTCAAAAATGATTTTGTTTGAGAAGAAATATCAAACATTCGACACAGTGTTTCATCACCAGATGAAACACCTCGAAGTTCGTCAAAAATACTCCGCTACGCGTCGTATTTTCAACTCTCTTCTCGGTGTTTCATCTGGTGATGAAACACTGCATCTCATGTTTGATATATTACATGAAATTTCTAAAATATGTTTCTTACTCTATCGAGTACATTTGTTCAGACGTTCAGTTACCGGCATCCCCCCTGTGTATCCCTTCAATACGGGATAACGTATATATTGTAGTGAATTAATACTAGCGCACCAGAAAACATTTACTGAGCTTACATCACTAATCATGATGGGCATGAAGTTGAAAATAATTAAGGCGCCAATTTATGTTAAGACACCGTTTAACCTCTGTTTTTTTTAACCGGCCCAAATAGATGTTTGTTTGCCAGTAGTCAGTTCGTCTATTATAAAACTTTCTTATTTACTTTTCTAAAATGGAGGAAGTTTCCACCTCAGTGCGAGACAGGCAAATTTTATCAAGAAAAAATTTTATCAGTTATGATCGATTTTCTTTTTCAGTTTATTTGAATACAGAAATTGAATTGAATTTTACTTCTAGCAATTGGCATTTCTTTTCCCCGGTCAGTAAGGGCTACTTGTGCTGAGTATGTTATGATGCAAACAAACAACTTAAAAGTGTGGTTATAAATTCAAAGGCGGAAAATGTTCAGTTTGCGTATATCTAGCTATATCTACCCTTTCAAAGGGAAATTTTAGGATTATCAACTGAAGACATTGCTAGATTCAAAACATTCAGAATGAATTGATATGGTTGACTGAGAACTTTTATATGAAGAACAACTTTTATATGAAGTCCATCGGCAAAACTTGTTAACAGAAATAACAGTAAAAGCAGAAAGTAATTAGAGATTTTTTTGTTCATTGATTTAAATCACACATGTTTTGAATTTTAGCCTTCTACTACATTTTTTTTCTCTCTATGAGAAAGTGCTAATCTTGCTGGCGTGACGCATTTATTAAAGTGCAAACAAAGATGCCAACACACAATGACAGTCAAAATATTTACAAAAAAATGTCCGAAGAAAATCAGCCTCTGCCTCAAACCATCATAAAAGGCTACCTCCTCCGAACAGCTCATCGAAAACGACAGCTAAACAGAGAGCTTTTTCTTCCTTCTTTACACGATTGCACATTGGTAGATTCAAAGCAGCCCCGTACC